GTCTTCTGGGTCTTTGGGATGTCTCCACTTCAGAGACTTTACATGCAAACCTTTACTTTACTTCAGTGTGGTGCATTTCAGACTCTGGCCACTAGATGGCAGCATCTTTTACTGAGGAGAGCAGGGCTGCCAGAAGCGGAACAAATGTGAAAGGGCCTTAAATTAATTACACATCACTTTGGGGTCCTAAACCTTTCCAATAACCTCTCCTGTGGGGAAATGTTGACTTTTAGTGTCTCGTTATGTCCATGGTGCCTAGAAAGGGAACAGATATGGAAAACAACTCATCAGCCAAAGAAACCAAGGTAACTTCAACTGAATTTAAAGTCTATTTTATGTCACCTTAGGCCAGGAAGCAAGTGAAGAGGAACAAGAACTTCTACAGGATGACGCCACAGCAGCATGATGATGTAGAAGTTTTAAAGTGACAGTGTGTATTTTTCCCTGCTCAGGGTAATTCCTCGACCCAATTGTTGCTTTGCAAAGTTTGGGCTAGAAACGCTCCATTGGAACCTCCGCTGACCCTAGCAGGTCCCCGGCTGGCCAATCACAGCTCTCTATAGGGGTTTCAAACTGTAGAGAGCTGTGATTAGTCCACAGTGGTGGGCCAATCAGGGCCCTCCATTCATCTGGTGGGCGGGATGATGCAACAGAGTGGAACAAGATGGCGACAGCTCGTTTGAAACGGCTTTTACATCAATGCTGGACTATTTGGACTTGGGCTTTATTAGAATCAGGAGCAGATAGATGCATTTAAGTTCTTTTTTTAGAAAAAGGATGTATTTTCACCTTCCAACAGCGGACGGCCTCGTTTACAGACATCTGTTGTGAGTATGTTCATTGTCCAATAGCATGTGGAGCGTCAATGGAGCATTGCCAGACAAAATAATATAGTCTGATTTGCCAGGCTAGGTAATTTTGTGTTTGAGTGAGACCTTACCAACGGATGGCCATTAGGGTCAAAAATCCCAGGGAGTGTCGTAGCACAATTGTTTAGCAACACAGGTGCATCATTCTTGCTGTGTGTTGATCGCGCCGCTGTGGGATAAATACATTTAGACATTTTATTGGGACTTCCTCCATGAAGGACCGCAAAATGTGGAAGAAATGATTGTGGGTGAACCAAACTGTCCGAAGAGAGCCTGGATTCCTGCAGCAACGGACAGTTTGTGAGGTTTATTTCCCGTGTCTCAGCCCGTGATCATTATCATAATGAATAAATAAGCTAAGGGAATAATGAAGACTTACCTGGCTTTGCAGTCTCAGTGAGGATTTATCTGGTTTCTTTGGCCATCACCCACAGCTGATGTGAGTAACTGCTATTAGCACGACCACGGCTTTCCGTTTTGCAGAAGAGATCGGCCCAACTCTCCTTGAAAAAACTTTTGAATGCGGGTAGGAAAGTGAGGGGTCCAGGACTTTCTAGGAATTAATATCTGCCCAGCAGATTTGTGGAAAAAGCACAGGCAAATGGGACCGTATTTAATCATCCCGGAGCTCACACGGGCTCTAAATAACTTCAATTTAGTCTTCAGTAAAGATTTTTAGCTTCTCTCTAAACCTCCTTCTCCCTGTAGATGTTAAAGTGTTTTTATATTAGGGTTTCGCCCGTAAACTTGTGAAAGTGTTCGTTGCGTATTGATAGCAGGCCATATTTGTTTTTCTACACAGCCACTCGCGCACAAAGATGAAGACAGGTCTCATCAACGATCCTCCTGTAGCTACACCTAGCCGCCAGCGTTCATAGAGCTCTTCCTGCGTCCTCTGTGATCGTGTTTGGATGTTAGCCATGGAATTATCTGGACAGTGAGGGCAAGTGTGTTGATGACTGCGCTGAGAAGCCATCCAGTAAGTCTCTGCTTCATTTTTATCAGCAAGTAAAACGATATTTCTGTGCTTTATTTTGCTGGCTGAATGGGGGAAATGCTGTGCATTTACAGTTTTTCTCACTTTACACATGAATCCTTGCACGTCTGTCACAAAGACAACAACATGTAGCTGATGCACCAGCTCCCTTAAAGAGCAAGTCCCCCCCTACCAAACTCTTAAGGTTGGTTTATGCTTGGCGCGTCTGCGAGGTTCGCACTGCTCCGCGCGGCAAAATTGCGTCATTTTAACAACCACGCCCCTCCACCGCGCCTCCGCACGGCCCAAACTTTCCGCACCGCGCACCTAGGAAATTTTCTAACCACGCGGACGGTCGCACGCGGAAAAACATGGTGGACTGGCAAGAACTAGTATGGCAGAGGTTCGTAAATACAGACATTTGTATGATTCATTTCTCAGAGATCACCGTGATCAACATGTTGTTAATAATTCTTGGAGAGAAATAGCTCGCACTGTCGGAAAAGATGAGAACGCTGTTAAAAATGCTGGAATGCCATGTTGTAAACAGTAATTTCTACTTCTACTATGGTGTAGTGTTGGATGCACGCCGTAGAGCTCCATGCTGCCCCCTACAGTTTGGGAGAATATTGACTCACTGCAGAGACAAGCCGCATGAACCATAAACGCTGCGAGTTGTGAAGCGCGTTCCATCCGCGAGCCGCATCACCAAGCGGAAAGTAAATGCGTCAAGCATAAACCAAGCTTAAGCAGCCATCCACCACGACTCACTGGGGATGGAGAAGACAGAGCACACACACACACAGACACACACACACGCCAAGCAATGTGTCTATAGTTATATTGTGATTGACGTTGGATGTGCTACTACTGGTTTACCCGTTTAATTATAGATCCACTAGGATAACCGTTCTCAGTGGCCTAGTGGTAGAGTGTCCGCCCTGAGATCGGGAGATCAGGGGTTCGACTCCTGGTCGGGTCATACCAAAGACTTTGGAAAAAATGGGACCCATTGCCTCCCTGCTTGACACTCAGCATTAAGGGGTTGGATTGGGGGGTTAAACCACCAAATAGTTCCCGAGCGCGGCTGTGTCTGCAGCTCACCGCTCCCCCAGGGGATGGGTCAAATGCGGAGGACAAATTTCACCACACACACCAGTGTGTGTGTGAGAACTGATGGGACTTTAATCTTTAATCTTTAAATACAATAAAGTTTATCTCTCACCAAATAGAATATTTACTAAGAAAAGAGAGTAAAAAGTTATTATCAGGAGAGGGAGAATGTTTAAGAGGTTAGCAGCAGTGTGCTAGACGATGGCCCCCTCCATGAGGCCACCACAGCTCAGCAGAACATCGTTGTAGCTTCTTCTGGGGAGAAAAACACTTAGAGAGAAAATAAAGTTAACAGCTGAAATAGCAGAAAATAATACAGCTAAAGAGCAGATTGTAGAAGAAAGTAGTAGAGTGTGAAAAGTGGTCAGTGTACAGTGATCCCTCGTTTATCGCGGTAGATGCGTTCCAGACCTGGCCGCCATAGGTGAAAATCCGTGAAGTAGGGACACCATATTTACAGTACAGTGTCAGAACCCAAGTTCCCAGGCCAGCCTCTTCCAGCTAGCCGGCCTCCACTATGGACCACAACTCCCAGCATGCCCCTCACGGGGATTCCCTCCACGTCGCACCTACGTCACAAACCGCGGCTATAAACGGAAGTCGCCTTTCCAGCTCACCACCCAGTCATCGTTTCTTCAGATTCATGATCGGAGTTTCCAACCTACCGATCCATCCCACGAACTATCAGCTCATAGTAAGTTATCTTACTTACTTCTGGAAAGCCTGCATTTCCGGAGAGGGTGCTCGCTGCAGAACTACAAAGGCGGAGCTGCACCATAAGGTGGAGCTGCACCAGAGTCAACCCCGCCCATTCACGCAAACTCAGCCTAGCCCACTGACTTCCGTTTTTGTTTTCAACTTTATCGCAAACTGACCTGACCCACATGAATTACGGCTGTTACTAGTTTACAGTCGTTAATGCTATGTTCTGTGCTCCAATTAAACAAGATAAATATAACTTGCTACATGACAAAGTCCGAATATATCCCGAAATAAAAAGGTTTCTCGTAGCGAATATCTGCCCACAGCAGCTCTAACAAAAGTCCTGTACAACAGCATGTACCCCTTTCCTGTGGGTTCTGGTAGTCCAGTGGCAAGATCGTCTGACTAGCGTTTTGCTTTCCCCTCAGCTGATGCTGGTTCGATTCTCGGTGGGGTCGGCAACAATCTATTCAGCCAGCTGAAACATTTAATTTGTTCATATTTTAGTTGTAATGTTCATTTTCAGCAAAATATTTATGTCTCTACAAGTTCTTTGAATTTGGTCGTTCCTAAACAGCATTTTAGTTGAAACTCTGCTCACAGATGGACTCACACTGGCTAAATAAACGAATGAATAAATAAAAAAAAACACATTAGTCATTATATGTTAAACGGCATACCAATAAATTGTTGTAAACATAGTACTGGCAAGTGTAGCTAGAAATGAGGAAAAGAGATTATAGAATATTTCCACTGCTGGGAGGCGAACCTGCGCAAAACTGCATGTCAACCTGACACCATCACCACTGCACCACCTCATCTGATAAAAATCAGGTGGCGTTACATTTTATCATGTTATTTGGTGTGTCTTTGTAGATGGGATGTATGATTTTTCTGGCGGTGTCTCAGTAGAAGTCATTTCAGAAATAATTTGTCAGAAAATTCACAGAATATCCAGATTTGAGAACCAAGACCAGACCCGCTTTGGGGGAGGAGACCAAATTGAAGCTGAGATGGGAAGAAAATGCATGAATGAGGCCAAAAATGGCTTTGGCGTGTTTCTTATGAGGAAATGACAATATAACATGATTAAAAGTTCCAAAAGTTAGATTTTTAATTATATGGAACCTTTACAAAAACTGTTCAATTCACTTCTCAACTCCCTCCTCAATCTTGCATTTTTTAGCTACAGGTGCTGGCCAGTAAATTAGAATATCATCAAAAGGTTGAAAATATTTCAGTAATTCCATTCAAAACGTGAAACTTGTACATTATATTCATGCAATGCACACAGACCAATGTATTTCCAATGTTCATTACATTTAAATTTGATATTTATA